GTGAATTACAGAGTGATGTGTTCTCGGAGGCCTCTACCTCTCAAATGTTAGGGGTCTGTCCTCATAAAAATGTTCTTTGAAGGGGGGCTGGAGAGATGGCTCAGTGGTTAAGAGCATTGCCTGCTCTTCCAAAGGTCCTGAGTTCAATTCCCGGCAACCACATGGTGGCTCACAACCATCTATAATGAGGTCTGGTGCCCTCTTGTGGCCTGCAGACATACACACAGACAGAATATTGTACACATAATAAATAAATATTAAAAAAAAGTTTTTAAAAAAAATGTTCTTTGAAATTACACATCACAGAATGAGACCGAGCCGGTAAGTGTGATGCACAGTGTAAGGTCTATTCACGTTGGGAGAGTTTATTGTTAGAGTCTCACTGTTCCATCCCCTCAGCCAAGATTCCATCCGACAGCGAACCAAAGAGGCAGTGGTCCTTCCCCCCACAAGCCTTCTTATTTCTTCCTCTGGGAGGCAGAAACAGTAGTTTTACTTAGTATTCTCCAAAGAGTCCTAAATAATCTAAAATTTTTCTGCCTAAATTTTATACCAATAATTAAAAATGAAGGCAAAGTCAAACTTGCTTAAAAAATGAGAAATAAATCTGAATTTCAGGCTTTCAGGAAAATGCTTAGAGCATAACTCATGGACAGCTGTCGTGTGTCTCCTTCCCAGGGTGTTGAGAGGGCCACATCCCAGATGCTAGGTGAGGAGACCGTGGGATGAGAAGAGGCTGGAGTAGCGAGCTGCCCCCAAGTGACAAAACGGAGTTTACCATGGGGTCAGAACACCCTCAGCACTGCCATGCTGCCTGACTGCTCTAGGGCAAGATTCTTCTTAGCTGCTTCTCTTTCTCCATATTTCAAGTAGACATACTCAGTGCTTACTGGTTACTTTCGGGTCACTCATATATAAATATTCCCCAGGTTATGTCAACCCAAAGGCATGTGTTTGTGGAGCTACTTACACAGATGAGTACAGACCTGACATTTCCTGTAGAGCTTCTGAAACTAAAGCAGAATTCAATCCATACTATGTACAATGTTTGATGCAAAAGAGTGACAACCGCGCTCCCCTGGGCAAATTTCAGCATGAGTTTTCCTAGAGGGGAACCGTCCCCTAGCAGGCTGACCCTCCCCACGCTGTTGTGAAAGTAACAAATGCCGCAGAAATGTGGGGCCTCCGCTCAAGTAGAACTTGCTGGTTCCTGATCCCTGTGGAGGTTTGGTCAAGGCACACTTCATTCTGTAGCATTTGAAGAGGACTCTGGGACCGCCCACTGAAGCAAGCATTAACCGTGCAGCACCGCCGCCACTAGCAAATGCGTTCAAGGACTCTGCCGGAGTCATTCTGAGGCAGCCACCACCAGCCAGCCTGAAAAACTTCTCGGATGTCTGGTTTACTTTTCTCCCACCCCGAATTAGAAGAAAACAAACAAAAACTTGTTTTCATTATTTTTTTCTCTGAGTGTCCATATCTTCTCTCCCTCTGGGCCGCTGCTTCCGAGTTCTTAAAACAAATGCACCCATAGAGCCGACACCGCTGGTGATCGGCCCCAGCCACCTCTTTGGTCCCACAGCTCTCTACCAGCCTTAGTGCTTGTATCTTTCGTGACCCACTCTCATACTGCAGCATATAAAAACCTACGAGTTTAGCTTTTGCTTTTCTTTCTGATTTTTGGGGGTTTTTTTGTTGTTGTTTTGCTTTGTTTTGTTTTCGAGACAGGGTTCGTTTTTGTAACAGCCCTAGCTGTCCTGGAACTAGCTCTGTGTACCAGGCTAGCCTCGAACTCACAGAGATCCACCTGCCTCTGCCACCAGAGTGCTGGGATTAAAGGGATTAAAGGTGTACGCTACCACAGTCCGGCCCCCTACAGGTTAATCTTAATCTCAAAGTTATCTGCCACCATCTCCAATCTCCTCCACATCAGAACCCAGGGCTGGGGTCTGGAGAAATGCCTCGGGGGTTGAGAGCACAAGCTGCTCTTGCACAGAACTCAGGTTCAGGTCCCAGCAACCACATCAGGCGGCTCACAACAGCCTGTAACTCTAGTCCCTAGGATCTGACTCCATCGTCAGGCCACCAAGAGCATCAGGCACAGGAATGGCACACAGACATACAGACAGGCAAAACTCATACATTTAAAATAAAAATAAATCTTAAAAGAGTGAAGAAACAGGCCTACACTGTCCACCTGTCTCAGCTTTCCTGCGAAGAGGAGGACATTTGTCCTGCACAGCCTTCCGTTGGCTTTGGGTGATGTTCATTCAGCACAGCTGGAAACTCCTCACCTTCTCTAAATGTCAGAAGTTTTGTGTTGAGGTTCTGTTTGGCTGTCCCAGCAGGATGATTTCAGAGGGATCTGAATCATAAGAGGGTTCCCTCTGTGATAGACAGGAGGTGGCCTTCGATGGGAAGTCACCAGGAATAGTCTCTGCCCTCTTAACTACAAGGGACTGATTAGACAAAAGCAAAGGCCACGTTCACGCCCTCCCCTTTCTGTCTTCACTTAAACTCAGGAAAACAAACACAGTTGTGTAAGTATCAGTGCAAATCTGTGTAAACCAGTTCAGGGAGGGCAGCATCTCCAGCTAACCCTTTCACTGCTGGCATTCTGGGACAATGGCAGCTTCCCCCAAGTGTGCCATTGCACCAGGAGTGAGCGGCAACATGGATTCGGAGAGATTTTAGGTACAAGAAAGCAAATCGGCTCCATTCAACAATGTAATCCACCCACTCCAGATGCATTTTACTACTCTAAGCATCCAGATTAAAACGAGGGTCTGACGAGATGGCTCAGGGGGTAAAGGCACTTGTTGGGAAACCTGACGACCTGAGTTCAATCCCTGGAGCCATAAGGTAGGAGGAGAGAACCAGCTCCCACAAGTTGTCTTATTACCTCTACATACATGCAGTGGCGCATTTGTACACACATACACACACACACACACTCATAATACCAGATTAACAGCAGCCATGAACCATGAGATATAGATCTTGAATAATTCTTAACTTTATTATTGCATCTAAACATTCTAGCGACCACAGGCCCCAGTACTCTGGTTGAGAACCTTTTGGGCAAGTCCTGTTCTGTGGTTTCAAACTCACTTGAATCTTGGCTATGTGGAAGAGGCTCCAGGTGGAAACGCAGAGTTGAGCCAGAATGTCACAGCACTCGGGGAGGTTCCAGACAAGTTGGCCCAATTTTATATAAATACTATATAGCTATATAGGCATGAAATGAAGCTCTTGGATGTCTAGCTTTTCTTTATATTTGTTTCTCTTTTCATTTTTGTTGCTGTTTCCTATTTATTTGTTTGTTTTGGTTCTTTTTTTTTTTTTTTTTTTTTTTTTTTTTTTTTTTGCTAATTTCATCCAATTGGGAAGTAATGCATTTTCCAGAAAGTTTTTTCAAAATAGTTTATTATTTATTCTAGTAAAAATACAAACATGATAAGGCCATTTTCTTTAAAGTCCCATTCACATTTCTTTAAGGCAGATAAAAATCTCTCGTGCCTTCAACAGAATCTATTCAAACCAGAAATTTCCTAAGTAGATTACAAATGTTAAACTCAGCAGTGCCCCCACGTACACTTTTTGTTAAAAAGAAGTTTTTAGTCCTGATTGTCCTCCTTCATACACAAGTCCAAATGGAAACATTGGCCCTAAAAGTATTGAGCCTTGTTGCCCTTAGACTCTAAGGTTTAAAATGACGCCAGCTAAACATGAGACCATACGAAACATGCTTGAGGCAGCAGTCTGCCTTTTGGCTCTGGTCTTTATTTTATAGATGAGGTCATGGTAATCACCTGCTCTGGTCTTTATGTAGACAACACCCATCTACAGTCTAAAGGTAATGCCTTCCATTATTTGGGCCATCTGGTCTACCTACTGAAAAACACATCATTCTTGCCAGCAAAGAAATATATGACTAAAACTAGGAACAGAAAATGCCTCACTGGAGGGGTTAGAGCTGCAGATGAAATTCAATGGCTTCCCTGGAAAATGCTTAAAAATGCACGTGGCTCAGTTCCACATTAATACAGCAGCAATCAAAACAGACTGAGAGAAGAGTTATGAATAGACTTATTTTGTAAAGTCACTTTACGCACCCAGCAAAACCAACCAAGGGTAACATGGGCTCCCTCAGCATTGATGTTGCTTAAATCCCTCCTTTGAGTGCCTTCCATTTAATTTGGCCAGCTACATGCATTTTGTTGCTTTTTCCTAGCTTCGTGGAAAATAAAAAAGGAGCTATGCAGATGTTGCCCACTGTGTGGAAGGACTGAACATGCTCAGTGGGCGGGCCTTACTGACTTCTGAATGAAAGCCTTGTTACCTGAAGGTGTTTGCCAGATAAAGTTTGACATTAACCCTGAGGACAAGGGAAAGAATTAGCCTTTTCAGTATGACTGCCACTGTCCCATACCCTGAGGTCATGTCCGTGCTGGATTCCCTCCTTGGGCTCCTACCACCATTCAGAGGTGACAGTTTCCCAACTTCTGTGTAGAATAACAATTTCAGCGGCTAGATTTGCGCTGCAAGGATCTCAGATGGTAAGCAGCCTGCCTGCCCTGCAAGTCCTCCACACCAATGTGGGGCATAGCACTCTTGCTCTTTAAAAAACCATGGTCCAGCACATGCTCTGTTCACTTTGGTTGAATGGCCACTTTTAGGCTGTCAGCTTGCCCAGCTGCTTCAAAGTCTGATTCATAAGATTAGAATAATACTAGTTCCAAACTCACAAACATGAAGACCCAGTGTGTGGGCACCATAAGTCTGGGCTCCAGGGTACAACCTAGCCTACATGCAGGTTCAGGCAGCCTCCTTTTTTAGCAGGGAAGGACAGCCCCAGACTTGAGTCAACCCGCTGTGACCACCCATGGAGTGTAAGAGTTAGTCACGGTCTCTCTGAGGGTGCAAAGGTATTGTGGGTTATTCTGCGTCCCAGGCTAACATGGGGAGAATAACCTATTTCATTTTATTTTTTTTTCCAGTTCTCTCAGGCCAGGCACACCACAGCCCTTTGAAACGATCTGTTTCCCTTACCCCACCCATGAATGTGCCAAACCAGCCTCTAGGACATGGATGGATGTCTCATGAGGACTTACGAGCTAGAGGACCCCAGTGCCTCCCATCCGATCATGCCCCCCTGTCTCCACAAAGCAGTGTAGCCTCTTCAGGAAGTGGTGGGAGTGAACACTTAGAAGATCAGACCACTGCTCGTAACACAGTCCAAGAAGAAGGTAGTGGTATGAAAGGTGAGTGACCACACGAGGAACCAGAAGGCCCTCCCTCCCTTGATCTGGAGTCCAAGGGGAAAGAGAGGTGGTCAGTAGGAGAGATGGAGCCCAGCTCCTCCCCTTAGGCCCGTGCACTCGAGCCACACCCTCCAGAACTCCAGAGCTGGCTCTGGAGAAAAGGGCTTGGAGCCCCTGTCCCGCTGATAAAGATGTTAGCTGGGGAGTTAGCCAGGCAGACTTTTGGGACAATGCCAAGGGCAAGCTCTGAAAGTGCCATGGAGCTGCCATTAATACACAGTCCTGAGGTCTGGTATTTCTGATTCTTGATCAGTGATCAGTGATCATTTGCCCCTACCCAGAAGCCAGAGCAAGGAAGGTCAGTATCCTTCTGTCTGCTTTCTGTGCACTGACTCTTAGACAGTGAGGGCTCCTGCTACCCTGGATAGAACCATCTTAGAAGACGCCAAGCTGCTCCACCCTCTGCCTTACTGTGGCCAGGGACCTGTCACTAATTGAGAAAAACAAACTAAGGATCTTTGATTACTTTATTTTCTCTCAATGAAGAATTGCAGTAATATTTCTTTTTATTACTTTTTTGTTTGATGGCCAAAGAAACCTTAAAGCCCATTTCTCTGTATCTGCTTCAGTGATGTGAAAACCTTCAGTGTTTTGAGTCCGATAGTAGGCTTGCATATTGATGAGAAAGGCTCATTGTGCAACCTAAATAAATGTTCCTACATTGCCTGTCAAAGTACCCTCTCCTACGGATCCTCCTTGGGAGACAGAGATTTCCAAAGTACCCATGATGGGTTCCTAAAGGATGTGTTCTGTATTTTTAGACACCAGTCGTTGGAGGGCTAGAAGTCCCTAGGGAAAGATCCTCAATCAGAGACATGCTGATAACAATGTTAGCTACTGAGACAATAGCCATGCAGGCTTCTGGGACAATGCTGAAGACAGGATCTGAGTGGGGCCTCTGTGCTGTTGTTAATCCACACTCCTGACATGCTTGCTGTTGCTAACCCTCCCCTTATACAAAAGCAGGCTCTTGACCTCATCCCTGCCAACATGGGATCCTAGCACAGAGAGTATGTTCTCATCTTCCCAGGTGCCGGATATAAGAGAGAGCGAGGCTGAAAAGTGGAGCCCATCACCTTAGGGAGTGAGGCTGACCTCCAGTCTTCCTCTGTCCCAGCCCCTTCCCATGATGGTCATGTGATGAGAGACCTGTGGAAGTAGGGTGTGTCTTCAAATTTTCCTCTGGGGATAAAAATGGATCTTTAAGATCAGCTGAATGGAATGGGTCATTTTGGCATACAGGGTGGCTAACCCTCTTTCACAGGGCTCAGGGGACTGCATCATAGTGTTGCAGGATGGGCAAAACCAAAACCCAAGTGATGCTACATCCCGGTGAAGCTCAGTATCTGGACAGCCGGGACAGGGCTCCATTGGTAACACAGAGGATTACTGTCTGCATGTAGACCCACAGGAGTAAGCTGTTTGCTGGGGAGAATGCCCGCTTCACTGTCTGGTGTCTCAATATGCTTACTTCATTCTTTTTACTTTATTTTCTTTCTTTCTTTCTTTCTTGTTGTTTCTTTACTTGTTTGGTGGGCTTATGCACTTAGCCATTCTCCCAGGGTGGGAAAATGTATGTTTGAAGCTTCTAAGGTAAGAAGTGAATAGAGATAATGTGTTTATTTCTAAAGAAATGTGAACAAAAGGGGAAATTGAATGAACATTCCATAGGCTTGGTTTGGGGGACAGGGAGGTTGTTGCTTTCCGGATAAAAGTCAGATGCCTTCCAGAACTCAGGGGGCACCTGTAGATAAGCTCACTTGGCTCCTTTCTCTAGAATTGGTGAGAATTGTCTTCTCAAGCTTAGTCACAATCAAAATGTCACATCCAAGATTCTCATTGTGAACACATAGGTATCAAGGAAAAAGAAGCTATTTGGTGACTGGTTGGAATAAAGGACCCTCTCCCTGTGTTTCTGCCTGCTTTGATCTATCAAACTTACTTTTCTTAAAGAAAGTGAATGGAGAAATCAATGGATAAGGACACTGGCAAGTAATGGGAAAATCAAGAGAAGAAACTTCCCAACTTCTGTGTAGAATAACAATTTCAGCGGCTAGATTTGCGCTGCAAGGATCTCAGATGGTGAGCAGCCTGCCTGCCCTGCAAGTCCTCCACACCAATGTGGGGCATAGCACTCTTGCTGGAACTATTTATAGGGGAAATATTTTCAATTCAGCTGATAATATCGGATAGTAGAAATGTCCAAACACCCAAACACATTCTGACGTGGCAAAGGGCCAGTATTTGTTGAGCACAAATATTCTTTACCCAGCCCTATTGTGAGGTGGCCATCAAGAATTCCTCTATATCAAGATTACTCAACATGGCCTTCTAAAATTACATCTAAGAAGCAACCCTTAATACACCCATCCCAAGGGTTTGTCATTTGATCTCCAGGCCTAAGAGCAGATGATTATGTAAATTTCCAAATTATTCCCCACGTTCTTAATGGACTATGAAATTAAGTCATGTGTATCTAAGAAGAGCTGGTTCTTCCTGTGGAACCCCATGTGTGCTTTCTTGTGCCCAGGACCTGTGGCAGGGGCAGAGGCACTTGGATAATCACCGAGCAGCTGCTTTTCTAGATTTCAAATGTCTGATCTGCAAGAACAAGGAAACTGGAGTAGAAGTTTTGAAGAGTTCCCGTATCCTTTGGGAACACATATCACTCTCACCTCACGTCTTGGGAAAAAAAAATAAAAGTCACCATAATTGCATTCATCTTTCTAGCCAAATGATGTACATGGCTGAAATCTTGGGTTTGTTCTTACCTACATTCTCATCAGGACAGAATAGCCAGCTTGGCCACCATCCTCCTTTGGGAATGTACCTCTTGGGTCAAGCATGCAGAATAAGTCCTCAGAGGATTAATTGCTTCCTCCTGAATCTCTGTGTTTTGCTTTCTCTAGCAAACACTCATCCTACTGGTTTAGGTGGACTGTATGGACTATGTAGGGCCCAAGGCTTAAGACAAACCATGCATGGGCTGGAGTACTGTGCTTGGAAACTCAAGCAGCAACTTGAGCCAGAATATGACATTTTTCTGTTACCAATCCCTTGGGACTTGGCTACTTAGAAATGTTTGGACTAACTGTGCTGGCTATGTTTTAAATTCAGGTCTCTGTGTTCTTTACAAAAACATCACTGTGACTTATCCCAGGAGAAGGACTCTTGATTCTGAGTTGGTACTCAGTTATAATATCCGTCATTTCCAGGTAGCAGATGAATTGAATGTACTTGCTCAGTGCTCATCTCAGGTAGGAGAGAGAAGGAAGTCTCATATCACTAAATTATTGCTTTCCTAGAAAGAAGGAGCCTGGTGGGGGAAGGAACGTATCTGTCCCTCAGAGTAGCATCATGACTCTCTGCACTGATGAATCCAAAATCCAGAGATCTATCAGAGGGCCAGGGTTCCTGGCGTGGCTTTGGGATAGGGGACAATCTGATTCAGTTTTGTCTTCACTTAAACCATTGGACATCTCTGTACCTACTGAGCTGTGGGAGGCAGAGGTAAGGGTTCCTCTAGCCTCAAGAGACTCACGTTAGCCCCAGGTACCTGATGTGGGGACGCTGCTGTGGATGTCCGGTCTCTCAGACGTTTGTCTCCACTTGAGGTGAGCACCACGATGGGCCCTGTTGCAAACAGGGCAAGAGTCTCTAGAGAAGGCAAGGAGGCGAGGCCTGGGGCAGAGCCTCAAAGGCGTGGTTGCAGGCCAGCAGTACAGATGGAGGGAAGGTTCTCTGTGCTGAGGGAACAGCACTGCGAACTTGTATACAGTGCGGGCATAACCTACGGCTAGGGTGTTAAAAGGCAGTCAGGAATCTGATTTGCTGTGGAGGAACCAGATCCTTGACCTGGAAAAGGATTGTGCCTTTTATTCTGAAATTGCTGAGGGAATCGCCTGCCTAAATTCGCATTAGAAAGTGGAACTTGCAGGGCAGTCTGGGAAGTAAAGGGGGAAAGGGGAGTGTTGAGAGCCGGTGCAGAGGAGGAGGGTTTCTCAGCAACAGGGGAAAGCGAACCTGGGTCAGGACAAGTGGCCATGTGAACGGAGACGGAGGAGTGTGGCTCAATTTCTCCGTGAGAAACAGAATGGAGAGGACTCGGTGACAACCGACGTGAATGGTGATGAGCCAGTGACACTCGGGATGACACCTAGGTTTCTGCCTGGGCTAGCAGAGAAGTTCTCTACAGTGCAGGGCCTCTGGGACTTAAGGAGGGACCACAGTAACGTGGGAACTTTCAGCAGTCCCATGGAGGTTTGCTCAGTGGACCTGTGGGCTCCATGCTCGACCGTGGCCCAGTTGAGCAGGTTCTGTGTTAGGCATAGTGAAGGGTGTCGGACGTTCCCCTGGAGGACTGCATTCCAGGAGTAGAAAAGCTCGGCTGGAGGAAGAGCAGTTGCCTGGATGAGGGGGTGGAGACTGGCGCTGTAGGCTCCTGTGGGAGTGGCAGCTCATCACAGGACATCAACTAGGTAGGCTTAGCAGAAGGCTGCTTCCCGTTAGCAAAGACGCAGACGTAATAGAACGTGGTTATTATGTGTGTGTGGACAGAATAGGGACAGAAGAGGGAACTCCTGCCTGGAGTAACCTTGAATGACACGTGGTAGCTATGAATGAGGACAGCCATTGACTATGAAAATTGTTTGTCTTTTTTGAGGGAGTCTCTCAGCTGAAACTTGAGTAAACTTTTTCTCCCTGTAGCAAATAAAATATGTTGTCCCCTAGTAAACAGCTGGCTTGGGACTTGTAGTTGTTTTTGAAATGTAGACTTGATCCTTGGCCTCTCTCGGAGGGGAAATGAGAGAAATTATTTAGAGGTGAACTCTTTTTTTAAAAAGGAAACTGAGAAAACTTGGTAGGAAAAGAGTTTTGAATGCAGCGCCCCTGAGGGTCTTAAAGTCTGAGTGGTGGCATGGACGTGGTGTGGCACATGA